AGTTTCATTGTTAAAAGGATTAATAAAGAAATGTTTATTATTATCTGATTTGTGATTATTTCGCTTTAAGTGACCGGTAATCCCCATTCTTACCCTAATAAGCAAGAATTATTTATCTGCTTACTTAATTAAAAAGAGAACAAACAACGATTTTAAAGGCTTCATAACAGTTTTATTAGTATCCGCTTATTATAATCAATATTTATATCAGATATATCAGACTTTATATCATAATGAATATAAATCATCAGCAATAAACAAGAATCATTTTAGGTGAACAAACAATAATTATGGTAAATTATTAATTAAACGGAACCTTCTTTATCTTAATAATAGTAATAAGTGTCTAAAGCTTAATTCAAATAGTATCATCTAACAGATGCTTCAATATTGCTTCATCGTTTTTGTAATACCTTTGTGTTGCAGAAGACTTCTTTGATTTTTTTTAACTTACATTTATGGATATTTTTGTTTTTATTAACATTATAAGTTATGCTTTTCTTATATTCAAAAACTTGTGTTATCTTGTATTTTCACTTTATTTCCGAAGGCAACATTATTCAGAACTTGTGTTTTTAGTACTTTTATTTCATTATTGTTAGTTTCACACTTAGGTTTTTCAACGTGGTCTAATACGAAGGCACATTGCAACTGTTTCTACAATCAAAAAGAAGTGGATCGTTTAGTTGCACGTTTTTAATAACTAACTCTCCTCCATATTCCAGTTCATCTTCATAATATATTGGGATAACTATCTGTCATAGGTGTGCTTTCTTTTTATTTTGTTTTTTTCCCTTTTACACTTTTTTCAGGTTCGCTCCTCTCCGTGTCTCTCCGTGTCATTTATTTCATTTGGTATTCGAGTCAAAACTTGTGTGGGGTTGAATGATATAATACCCGTCTTTTTAAATCCGGATTTTAAATATGAAAATTCGTTTTTTTAAATATGTCCATTAACAACTTTAATAATCAAGGAAAACACCCTTTTGGCACACACGTCTCATTATAGCCATCGGTTTTCTTCCGTTTGAGAAGAATCTGCCGCCAAGCTGTCTTCGTGGGCCTTAAAACGCTACATCTAACGGTTGCGTTAAATGCGTTCCAATTGTTGGCAAAAACACGAAATCACTTTGATTTTTTTTACAAAGTTTTATCATATCCACCGATATATGTGACGATAAATTATCGCCTATTAGCAGTTTTCTGCTTGGTTTGTCTGCAAAAACCGGAATAATTATGGCCTGGATCCAATCTTAGAATGTGTTCCCGTCAAACCACCCCGAAACAGAACGATTGTATATAGCTCTTTTTTGTCAGAATTTTTCTGCATCCAGGGTCATCTGCGAGGTTGGCTTCATCATAATTTACTATATTTGTCACTGGAACATCGACCAACGACTTCTGTAGTTCATTGAAAAAACTCATGATTGTTTCAACTGACACAGTAGCTCGGGATCTCTTTATGTTCTAACAAATTCGCTGAGAATTTTTTTCCTTTATGACGATTTAAAAAGCACTGCACAAAATCTGGCCCTGGCATGTTATTTTTAAAACGTTTATGGGTAACCCCAAGTTTATCAAGATACATTTTAATAATATATCTCAAGTCAAGCGAGTATTCGATAATATAATCTTCTGTTTCACCTTATCGTTTAAGAAACCCTTTGCTATGGCGGTACAATACAGAGGAGAGCATATTGTACTTTGCGGCTACTTTTTTCAGTGATTCCGAGCCTATTAGATATTCCTCCACTGCTTCTTTTATACTCGCTGGATTATCTTTTATAGTGTTTTCGTACTGGTTCCGGCTAATACACGCGCGGCATTGTGCAAATAATCTGTAAAAGAAACTACAGTTTCAGATCTGACTTTACAATGCATTTTAGTTAAGCTGTGTTATAATTTTGTGTTGTGTTTAAAAAAAGTAATGTTTGGCAGCCCTAGCGCTGACATTTTCAATCAACCCATTTGCGTTACTATTCACCTCATAGGCGGTTTTTTTTTTCACCCCAAATAACACTTGATTCTAATGAATTCAGTATTAGACAACATTTTCCAAAAATTATCATATTTCTGTCTTACCTATTATGTTTCAACAAAAGAAAAATAATAACATTTCACGCAGAAATGAAATGAAATGAAATGAAAATGTTTTTATTCAAGTAAGCTTGTTACAAGCACTTTTGAATCGCCTAAAAATGTTTTTTCCCCTACCACTTGTTCAGGACGTCTTTTAGCTGACAAGAAGAACAAGCGAAAGAAACTTACCAGCTTTTTATCATAAGTAATGATAATGACATTTACATAAATAATGTCATTACCAAAATAATACATATATTGAACAATAACAATAATAAATAAAACTTTCAAAGTCTGTAGAACCCCGCATTACCCCTGTTTGTTTATATTACCATATATATACGTAAAATATTGCTGCTCCACAAATTCAAAGCCGTTGCGTTGATCACTTTGGCAGAATTTTTTTCGCATTAATTTCACTGATATTTTGTCTATTGCCATCAAATAGTCGGTGTAGCACTATCTAAAAAATACAGACGTGTAGAAAATACAGAAGTACATACTGCTTTCAGTTTTCAGTGCGGGCAAATTAACGCATGGAAAAAAATCTCGTTTTTTTTCTATTTATCTCATTTTACGGGGCGGGAAGCTTCTTAATTGGTCTTTTTGATTTTCGTGTTTTTTTTTTGTAAATTTTTATTGTTACTGATATGTGCAATACACATATCTCTGTTTTCTGTATATATTCTATTAGTCTTAGGTACAATTTGTTTATATAATATTGTATAAGAGTTTATTGGTAAGTTTTTATTTTTCTTTGCTAATGGTGAAAAATGGCCAAAAAACGGAAAAAAGCTATATCTGATTCTTTAAGTCAGACGAACACTGTAGTATTCGTCTGTCACTTGACTCAGACTCTATTGTAATAGAGTCTCAGTCGATTGACTCTGAATAGTCCGACCGGTTGGAAGAAAATGAGGACAAGTACTGCCGTAGGTATCCCGAAGACAGCGCGGCTGGCTACGAATTTATTGTTTTTGTAGAAAGCGTAAATGAAAACCCTATTTACCCGTTTTACCCGTTTCGTTAAAGGTATCAAGTATTTGAAAAAGGTTAACAAATACAAAGTAGGCGTAATCTTCAACAGCACCAACCTAGCCAATACGTTCTTAGATAATAAGACATTTCAGCGAAAACAAAACATTAAGGCGTCCATCCCTGCAAGAACCACTGAGTTGACAGGAGTTATCAACTCTGTCCCCACAGAAATGTTTAATAAAAAAATGGCTCTCTCCAGCTCTAAAAACATAATATGTGTTCGACATCTGATGAATGTTTTCCGTTAGTGCCTACCCAATCTGTAGCGAGTAAGTTTTCGGCCTCAGTATCTTTACCAGACTTTGTATTTACAAAAATGTGGCGACTCCCAGTTTTGCCTTATGTTCCCCCTGTAAAGCAATGTTTCAAGTGTCTTAGGTTCGGTCATTTAGCTAAATATTGCCACAATTCACAAAAATGCTCAATTTGTACAGGTTCTCACAGTTTCAAATAATGTAATGTGCCTTTAAAAAACAAAAACTTATAAAAAATAAAAAAAAGTGAACATCACTCCTTTTACAAATTATTCAATAACAAAGACAAAAACTTTCCGTCATTAAATAAGACCGAAAATAGTCAGGAATTGATTAATTTGATACTCAACAGTGAAAAAGCTATAATTGTAATAACTTTATCCTTAATTAAAGTTTTAACATTAAATAAAACAAACAACACAAGTATCAGTTCTCAAATAATTTTAGACACCACAATAAAACTAATTTTTACGATATTTCCCATCAAGGAATTACGTATTTTAATAAATCGTCCGAGGATGTCACTAGCTTGGTGAATTTGGCTGTAGCTATATTTAAACAAAAACTGAACTACTATGCCAGTATATACCTATATAAACGCTACGGAGTTTTTTTTTAGTGAGAATCAGATGACCGTGTTATCTAAAGGATAATGAAGAGAACCGAAGAAGACGAGGAGTTCAGGTCAATCCTTCTTACCTTATCAAAACCGAGGTGTAATGCGGCCACATAAATTTAACTGGGCAATAATTGTAACATTTTTTGAAATAACATTGCATTATTTGAACCCGCACCCTATCCGCAGCTATCTCGTCAACTTGCTCGACCAAGGGTTGCACTAGTACTTTTAAATGATGTTCAAGCAATACAAACTGGTTCTCATGTTGCAAGACCCAAATGGTCTTGACTTAGCCTTTGTTTCTTCATCTATATCAGCTCTTCCCAGCCTTTTTCAGTCTACGGACCCTTAGTAAGTCAAGCACAGTTTTCACGGACTCCCCCAATAAAATAAACAGCAATAAAACGGATTAGGTATTTATTTTAGTTATTACAGTTACAAAAAACAACAAACACAGAAGGTAATTATAACTTTTTATTATAAAAATATATATATAAAAAAAATAATGTGAAGGTTGGTATTACTTTTTTGCAACCAAATCAGGGATATTCGGGTTGATGTTGCTACTAAGCTGTAATCTCAAATCGGATTCTACTTGTAATCTGTTTCTGTTTTTTTTTTTCCTTTTCACATAGGTATGTGGTTGAAAAAAGCAGTAAATATTTCAGTGCTTCGTCCGAAATTTCCTTATAATCTGTATTTACTTTCACCCAAAAACTTGATAGTAAAGATTTTTGAAATTGCGGTTCAATGCTGAATCACAGGATATTTCTATTAATTGGCTTTCCTGTGCCGCTGTCAAGCCAGTTATATCAGACACATTTGTGTTAAAAGAGTCTGATATCCAATTTTTATTTTTGTCGGGTACTGGAAAATAATTCCGAAACGAAGACTTCAAAGTGAGGAGATCTGTCACCATTTCAGCTTGTACTTGTACTGACAATATTGCTTCACCAGAGGACTTCAAATACGCTGACAGTATTGGAAAGTGATTATAGTTTTTTTTTTTTGAATTGTACGATTTATCCATAGGTCAAGCTTTTTTAGACTCGTTTCAAATTTATCATCGACCTGGAAGATGTTGGTATCTCTCCCTTGTAGACCCTAGTTCAACTCGTTAAGGACAATAAATATATCAGCCAAATATACTGCCATTATAAGCCATTCAAAGTCATTGAAATTATCAGCATATTTGCTGACGCCATGTACAGAAATATCCAAAAAGAACATTCTGATCTCATCTCTCAGCTCAAAAACACGCGTCACAACTTTGCCACGAGATAACCAACGCACTTCAGCGTGCAATAATAACTGCTTGCGAATGCTTCCCATTTCTTCACAAATGATACCGAAAATACGGGAATTTAGAGGCCTAGCGTTAATAAAATTCACCATCTGCGTTATGTCATCTAACACTGTTTTTAATTGTGCTAGCATCTTTTTAGCTGCTAATGCCTCCCTATGGATGCAGAAATGATGTCACATAATAGCTGGATTCATATTTTAACGCGCGCCTGCAGCCCTATCCAAACCAGCTTTCATTAAGTTCAAATCCAACTCTAGTCTGGAATATTATATTGCATTTAAAAATGCTCAAATCATAAAGACATGCTCAGGCATTGAAAAACAGAACATTAAAGCGTGGTCGCTCTGCTGGGGAAAGTCTGTGTAATTTTTCTTTGGACATTAATAAGTCTTTATCTCAAAATGGGTTCACAGTCTCTGTCTTCTTCGATGTAATAGGCCCCTTTAATGGAATTAATTTGGAAACCCTTTCTAAAATCTTGGATGATTTAAACTTTCCTGGAAAGTTAGTAAAATGGTTATTTAATTTCTTAATGGTCGGAAAATATTTGTCAAATACGGTAATCAGTTGTTTGGGTACAGATGCTCCTATAAAGGTGTATCACAAGGTGGAATATTAAATCCTCTCCTTTTCATTTTGTATATACATCAATTAAACAATATTTTGGGTCCACAAGTTAATAATTTACAATTTGCTGATGATTTGGCAGTATATTATTCTGGAAACAATTTGTCCTTGATCTTGGAAACAGTTAATGCTGCTCTTCAAAGGTTACAAACTTATTATGAAAGTCTGGAGTTAGATATCAGCACTGAGAAGAGTAAAGTTGTTGTCTTTTCAAAAGAGTTATTGAATAATCTTAATATGTCCATATTTTAAAATAAAAAAATATTTCTTGTAGTCAACCATATTAGATTCTTAGGAGTTATATATCAAAATAATTTCAAATTTAATGAATATGTCGATTGCTTGATAAACTGTGCCACAAAAGCCTGTGACATATAATTTTTTTAGCAGGTACATATTGGGGTTTGACCCTGTAGTGTATGCGCAGGCGTGTGCAATTCAGTCACATACCGACCGCCGCCGAGTGCGCACGTGTTCTGTGTTTGGCATACCCTATATCCACAGGGAATACTAAAAGTGTGTTTGATTGACAACCTGACTATCTGAGACGTTACAAGTGGCGACGAGGACAAAAGTGAGTACAAATTACCCCTAAAAAAAAGGGGGGAAAGAGTAAGGTTGTTTACGAGTTGCTTTGTTCGAAATAATTGCAGTGTTAATATTATTATAGAACATAAACATTGGTTTAAGTTAATAATGAGCTATTCCTAAATAAAAATATGTGCTGAGTCAATACGTAAACAACTGTAACAATCCTTGTTTATTATTATTATGGCCATGCATCGTATCAGATGAAAAGAAAATAAGACCACGCAAACGCAAATAAATCACGGTTCTATGATTATTACAAAAATAATGTAGTGTTGTGCTCGTACGAAACCTAACGGTACCTACCTACAAGGAGTTATTTTAAATATTGTGGCAATTAATTATGATCGACGTAATGAAAAATACTGACCTAAACAATTACAAATAAAATAAAACAGAACAGTTATATATTACTACATCTTTCCTATACACAACTCATAGCCTTTTCTTGGCTTACATTTACATAGTGTACAGTTACAGCTCATTAAAATATAAAATATCATACCTACCTACAATTTTAAATACTGTTTTACATGTGATATTTATTATTGTTTATGGTTGATAGTAGTTGAAAATTCACAATTTTATAATTAATATTATTAAAGAGAAACGTTATTCTTATAATTAATATTATTAACGAGAAACAGCTATATACATTACTATATTTGATTTATATTTGGTTGGTACCTAATTATACCTGCACAATATTACACCTATTTAAAGGCCATGCAATGAGTATATAACCAAGGGCCACGCAGTTTAATCACGAACAGATTCTATGGATCGTATGTACATACATAGATTATAAAAAATATAATTGGTCTAGGAAAAAAATGACTTGTATAAATTTAATAGGGCTACGCAGTTGTAATACTGTTACTGATTTTCAGTAAAAGCCATGCAAAAATAAGAGTCAATATTTTATTGCAGGTCGCTCCAAAATGACTCATGCGTCATCAACACTCCCGAACTTAGACCATTTCGATTGTGAAGGTGATCCGACATCTGTTGGCACTCGCTGGGAGAAATGGAAAAGGGCACTTGAAATTTACTTATTGGCTACTAACATCGACACACCCGTACAAAAACGAGCTACTCTTCTCCATGTTGGGGGAATAGCACTTCAGGAAGTTTACTATAATCTTCCTGGAGCTCATGCTGATGCAGAGGAAGGTATCGACGTCTATGAAATAGCTTTGAAGAAATTAGACAGTTACTTTAGTCCGAACCAAAGTCGAATTTATGAAAGGTATCTTTTCCGTCTTATGAAACAAGAGGAAGGAGAGCAATTTGAACGTTTTTTACTAAGGCTAAGGCATCAAGCCGAAAAATGTCAATTTCATAATAAAGAGGAGCACATTATTGACCAAATTACTGAAAAGTGTCGATTAGTCGAATTTAGAATGCGGAGACATGGTTACTTCAGATGAAATTACAAGTAAAGCAAATGCATTAGAAGTTGTGACCAGGCAATTAGAACAATTTAAATCGGTAAACACAAATACTACGAACAATTTCAACAAAGCGGAAACTAATAAAATAGATAACAAGAACAAACACAACAAACCTTTTCGACAACAGTCATCGAACTCAAAATGCAGTAGATGTGGAAGCTTCTCTCATTTATCAGATGACATTAAATGCCCGGCTAAAGACAAACGATGTTTGAAATGCGGTTTCATCGGTCATTTCCGGGAGCATTGTAGGACTCGACAGAAAAGACCATTCCCGAACAACAGGACCGAGACTATAAATAAAAAACCAAAACTACAAACAAAGAAGAATGCCGATAAATCTGAAATTGACTACATTTTCAACCTGGAAGAAAAAGAAAGTACAAAAGGTGAGACTGATGGAGTAGAAAACGAAAAGACTGAGAAGTCCCAAATAGAGTATATTTTCCACTTGGATGAAGAAGAAACTATACAATGCAATATTGGGGGAGTGACTGTTGACATGTTGATAGATTCAGGAAGTAAATACGATGTTATTACTGACAGAACATGGCAACATCTAAAAGATAATAAGGTGGAAATTACTAACCAGATAAAGAATCCCGATAAGACACTTATTGCTTATGGCAGTAATAAACCTTTGGACATCATGGGCTCCTTTGACGCTAATATTTCAGTTATTGGTAGTAAGAAAGTAAAAAGCACTGTATATGTCATCAAAAACGGCACACGCGACTTATTAGGCAAAGAGACTGCGATTCAATTGGGTGTGCTTAAAATTGGACTTCAAATTAATGCAGTAAATTCGGAGGTATCATTAGAGAAAACGTTTCCTAAGTTCAAAGGAGTAATTGTACAGATTCCAATAGATCCAACGGTCAAAACAGTCATCCAACCATACAGAAGAGTTCCCATTCCTCTAGAAGAAAAGGTTGTCAGAAAATTAAAGGAACTAAAGGATGCCGATATCATCGAGGAGGTAAATGAACCTTCACCATGGGTATCACCAATGGTTCCCGTTCTTAAAGAAGGACAGGAAGAGGTACGTATTTGCTTAGATATGAGGAGGGCTAATGAAGCAATTATAAGAAAAAATCACCCTCTCCCGACAATGAATGAATTACTACCTAATTTCGCGAAGCCAAATACTTTTCCAAACTCGATATCAAAAATGCCTTTCATCAACTCGAAATTCATAAGGATTGTAGGTACATAACTACGTTCAGTACTAGCAAAGGGTTGTATAGATATAAAAGATTAATGTTTGGAATTTCTTGCGCACCAAAGATGTTCCAAAAAATTTTAGAAAAGGTACTGTTAGGCTGTGAAGGGACATGCAACTTTATCGATGACATTATAGTACATGGCGCCACCGAAAATGAACATGACGAAAGGTTAAGTAAGGTGTTACGCGTCTTAAAGGAAAATAACGTTCTATTAAATGAAAACAAATGCGTTTATAAAACACAAAAAATTGAATTTCTTGGTCACGAACTTTCTGCCAGTGGAGTAAGACCACTAGAAAAATATTTGGCAGTAATAAAAACCAGTAGAATACCTAATACAACTGAAGAAATTCAAAGTTTTCTGGGGTTGGTTAATTTTGTAAGTAAATGGATTCCCAATTTTGCTACCCTTACTGAACCTTTGCGGGAACTGCTACGGTTAGGTCTTGGAAAATCAGCAAATATTCAGAAATTTTGGACGCCCAAACAGGATGAGGCATTTGAGGCTCTAAAGAAAAGCTTATCCAATATTCAAACTTTAGGCTATTATAATCCTTCAGATAAAACCCGGGTTATCGCTGATGCTTCTCCTGTAGGGTTAGGCGTAGTTTTAGTGCAAATAGGTAAAGATGGCCCCCGTGTGATTGCTTTTAGGCATAAGGCTCTTACAGATTGTGAAAAAAGATATTGTCAAACAGAAAAAGAAGCTTTAGCGCTCGTTTGGGCAGTAGAGCATTTTAAAATATATCTGTTCCGCAAAGATTTTGAATTAATAAGCGATCACAAACCATTGGAAATCATTTTTAGTCGAACCTCTTAACCATGCGCAAGAGTAGAACGATGGGTACTTAGATTACAAGCTTATAGGTACAAAGTCATCTACCGTCCAGGTAAATCAAACATAGCTGACACAATTTCCAGACTCGCCAGATCTTCTTTTTCAGAACCATTTGACTCTGAAAATTATATTAACGAAATTGTGAATTATAGTAGGCCTATCGCAGTTCCATTAAATGAAATCGAAAGGCGTTCTGCTGAAGACGAGGAAATTTTAAAAGTTCAAAATGGTATTTTTAATAATGACTGGCATGATTCTATCAGCAATTTTAAAATCATACAAAATGAACTCTGTTTCAACGGAAATATACTTCTTAGGGGAGCTAGGCTGGTAATACCCCATAATCTGCGTCAACGTGTACTGGAGGCGGCCCATGAAGGCCATCCGGGTATAGTTGCGATGAAGGCTCGTCTTAGAACAAAGGTGTGGTGGCCTAGGATTGACAAAGATTCTGAGCGTCTAGTAAAAACTTGTCGAGGGTGTACATTGGTATCTAATCCTACTCCGCCACATCCGATGAAGAGGCGAGCACTTCCCGCTGAACCCTGGGTTGATGTAGCGATGGACTTCTTGGGGCCTCTTCCTAGTCGTGACTATCTGTTCATTCTTGTTGACTACTATAGTAGATATAAAGAAATTAAGGTAATGCGCAGTATCACTTCCCTTGATACGATAAAGGTCTTGAAAGAAATCTTTTCCAGATTAGGTTATCCAGCAACATTGACGTGTGATAATGGAAATCAGTTTACGAGCGAGGTTTTCCAGAAATATTGTAAGGAATGTGGAATCACTTTATTTAATACAGTCCCGTATTGGCCTCAAATGAATGGTGAAGTGGAGAGGCAAAATCGAGACATCTTAAAACGCCTTAAAATTTGCCAAACTGAAAATAAGGACTGGAAAGAGGACATCTTTAATTATTTAATGATGTATAATAGTACTCCTCATTCTGTAACAGGTAAATCTCTATCGGAATTATTTTATAGACGACAGTTTAGAGACAAGATCCCGGCAGCACCTGACATGGAATATAAAACAATAGATGAAGAAGTAAGAGACAGAGATCTGCAAATGAAAGAAAGAGGGAAAGTGTATGGAGATCTCAAGAGGAAAGCTACAGACAGCAACCTGGAAATAGGAGAAAAAGTAGTCGTGAAAAATGTAATCAAAGATAATAAGCTGACCTCCAATTTCAACCCCACTACGCATACAGTAACGGACGTGAGCGGTGGCGATGTGAGTATTAGAAATGATGAAACTGGAAAGGAATATCGCCGAAACGTAGTTCATTTAAAGAAAGTAAATGATTCATGGACTGTGGTTCATCAAAATGCTAATAGTACCGATTTAGGAGGAAATGATAAACTAACGTAAAGTCTTTGTTGATTGATATATGTATTGATATATTGTTGCATTCGTACTGTTGTCTATGTAATGTAATTATTAATTTACACAAATCTATTTGTAAAAAAAAAAAAAATAGATTACCTATCATGTTATAAAAATAATTTAGTTAGAATAATTCGTTAGATTAACTTTAATTGTGATTTTGAAACATTTAAAATTAATTAAAATAAAGAAGGGATGTAGTGTATGCGCAGGCGTGTGCAATTCAGTCACATACCGGCCGCCGCCGAGTGCGCACGTGTTCTGTGTTTGGCATACCCTATATCCACAGGGAATACTAAAAGTGTGTTTGATTGACAACCTGACTATCTGAGACGTTACAGACCCCAAGGTCTTACATAAGTCACTTGTAAGGAGCCATTTTGAATATGCTTTCTTTTGTTATGCAGGTGAAACAAAACTAGTAGACAAATTAGAAAAAATTCAAAATAGATGCTTACGTATTATTGTTGGAGCAATGTGTTCCACTTCCATAATATCAATGCAGGTAGAATGTAATGTACCACCACTGCTGTTAAGATTCAAATATTTGATATCCAGATTTTTCTTGAAAATTTCTTCAATTATTCAACATCCTTTAGTTGGAAAACTTCAGCAGTTTTTGACAATCAATGCTTCCTCATAAAATTGTTTATTTTTGCTTCAACATTTTCCTGAAATACCAAAATTAAGAAATGAATACAACATATTTATCAGTTTTATATGGCCTTGTTATGAAGGTTGCTTTATATTAAAACTTTACACCATCAAAATTTTCATTGATAGGACTTTAAAAAATAAAAGTGATGTTTATTGCTTATTACAAAATTGGATTGGAATTCTTAAAATTTATACTGATGGTGCAAAAAATTGCAAAAATGTTTCTACATCTATTTATGATATGCAAAATAGAAGAGGCTACGGGTATGAACTTCCTAGTATTGCTAGAATTTTTACAGCTGAAAGTTATGGTGTACTCAAAGCCTTGGAGTATATTGAATCTCAGAGAGAGGGCAATAATGGTGGCGATAATTTGTTAATAGTTTCTGATAGTATGTCTGTCCTTCAAGCGTTAAATAATCCAAACTTTAATACTTCAACTAGCTACATAATTCATAAAATACGCTCAAAATATTTAGAGCTAATAATATCATTTAAATTTAATATAGTCTTGGTGTGGACACCAGCTCACATAGGTGTTACTAGCAATGAACAAGCTGATAATTTGGCTACATCCATAACAAATACATCTTATAATATTCCCATCACAAATATTAAAGTACCTGACTCAGATAACTTAGTAAATATAAAAAGGAAATTGCGTGATGACTTTGTAAATACTTGGGAACAAATCACTCATACCAAGGGAAAATGGTACAGGCAAATAAACAAAAATATCACAAAACCTTGGTTTTATTATGGGATCCCATTACAGTGGTAGAAAATATTATACTCGTACAATAATTTCTCATCTCAGGTTTGGACGTTGTCGTTTTAATGCTCACCTTCATAAAATAAATATAGTGTTATCACCTATCTGCAATTATTGCAAGTCATTTTTCTCTTGCTAAGATTCTTTTCATAGATCTCCTTCTGGAGATTTATCATGAAACCTGAAAATATCCCGCGCACTCTTCAGCATTTATAACCAATGTTGTTTTAGACCTATTTACGACTACGTCGCGTTAACTATCGCAGATATATAAAATTTAAATTATGACAAAACGGACAAAAAGTGAAATATTTTGATCTGACATTTAACTTGATTTGTGACACTATAATTTAATTTTACTTTTGCAGTACAAAAAAAGCCTTCATGGCTTTTATTCTTCATATTGTTGTTTATTATTAAAGACGTGGCTACAGCCTATTTTTTTCTATGATATCGAAGAAAATTTTTGTAAAACAGACAATGGATGTATGGGCTAAGCTCTCTTCGCCTTTCCTTTACGGAAAAATCTACCAAAAAAAAAACACATTTAACGGTACCAATACATTTCAAGTGGTACAACTTTTGGCATTTCTCACTTGAACACTCCATGAACGAGATATATATTTCTGTCTCGCAACCACTACACTTAGTAAACATTTATTATTGAAGCTTCTCACGTATCACACCCCGTAATTAATTTTATTTCCCAGAGAACACGCAATTACGTCCGTTCAGCTTCGTTGTTACGAACTGTTACATAGAATATAAAATATTTATAAAACATATGAAGATAAAATATTTTATCAATTTTTTAAACTTTTTTAGTAATTTGGTTACTAAAATGTTTACTAAAAAAACTATGCTTCCTTCAAACAAAACAAACAACATAATCGTTCATTATTGGCAATGACATCATGAACAACACACATACCAAATTGATAGCAAACATTCAGTCAAATTATTTGTTTATGTTCACTCACAATCAGTCTAACATGACTGTTATGAGGCCATTGTTATATATACAAAATTAGTATTAGGTCCCTCTCTTCACGATTACTTTGTAGTAAAGCGGGGTGCCGTATAGTTAAACGTGAGAGAGAGGAGGATTAAAAAATAAGATTTATAATTATATTTTATGTGTGCTTGTATTTTTTGACAGGTATCCTAAATTTGACAGATACCTCATTCCATGCAACAAAGTGACACGAAAATTTTTTTTATATAAAATTCTTGCGTTACTGAGTGACTGACTGACAACGTACAGCCGAAACTACTGAGCGTAGAAAGTTTAAATTTGGAATGAAGATTCCTTAGGGAGTGTAGAGGAGCATCAAGAGAGGATTTTTGAAAATTCCACCCCGAAGGAGCTAAATTAGGGAATGAAAGTTTGAATGAAACTTCGTTACTACAACCGTAGGTGCTCACTAAGACGGGATTTTACGAAATTCGACCCTTAAGGGGGTTAATTAATGGATGAAAGTTTTTATGAAATTTTCTCATTTCTGGACTTAAAACTAGACAACGCGGGCGAAGTCGCGGGAAAAAAGTGTCTTATATAACTTATTGTCGTGCGCTTATTATGATGGTTAGTAGTGAGGAATTGGGGGTTCTGGATTATTCGCAGATCCAGAACCACCCAATTCCCCACAAGACCATCAGTTCCAATAATCAAACGCGTTTATTCAAGAAGACGTTGTCAGTTCAAAAAAGATCAATGGTCATGAGGCTCTTTGCTTTTCGTATATTAAATAAGCATTCTTTTCAAAACGTAATATTTAAATTATAAAATATGTAATCGAGAAAGTTTATAGGAGATACAGATAACTTTTTGTTGTTGTAGGTATACCTACCGTAGTACTACGTAGGTAACGCGTCTGTTGTTGTTATCACTTTCGTCAGGCAACTGGAGACAGTATGCGCGAGATTGCCTTTTAAATCGTTCTGACATCTGGTTGTTCCAAATATAGTATGTTCCAAATATTTCATACATTTCCGTGCGGTTTTAGGAATTACATACATTTCCTAGTAATTTTATACAATGACGGATTACATACATTTCCGTTAACATATACATCATTAATAAATCCTTTGATATTATTGTTTCAGGTCGAAACATGCTGAATCTAACTACGATGATCTCTTCCCATCAGACGAGGAAGGTTCTGTGCAAGGCGAACTGTTTCAGGTGCCTCCAAAAAAGTTGAAACGCTCGAGAGCATCGGGTTCATCTTCGGGTTCAGATGCTGCGATCGCACCAGCAGCGGTGATACCGCTGCTGGTGCGACCAAGTGAGCTGGACTCACTTGGTACAGCTAAGCGCTCAAAAAAAATCAAGATCAGCCCAATAACGAAGCCTCAAGTTACGGCTGCTGATTTATTCGGCAGCGACTCTGAAGATCCCAACGAGCCGACCCCTCAGCCTGCTGTCGGTAAAAAAACTCCACCCATTACACACCTATATTACTCGTAGGTTGGCCAACGGGCATGCAAGACAGTGTAACTTAAATAAGACAGGCAATCATTTTATTGAGTTAAAGGTAAATCGATGCGACGAGATCGATACTGTGTTGCCGATAAATAGATGGAGGCAGGCCGTGGTTACGGTTAAAAACCGAACCAATGAAAATACCGAAGCGTGGGAGCATCTTACCAAGTTCATCAGCGCAACACGCAGAGAATTCAAATCTTGTCCTGCCACATTCATTAGCTCATATTTTTAATTTATTTTCTTATATTCCTGATCATAATCAATAATTTTCGATATAATCACTGTATGAATAACATAGTTTAGTAAAATATTATTAAGATTAAAGTATATCTAAAATATTTTTTGTATTCTTTCCAGTTCCACTGATTCAGTGCGCAGCGCCAAATGATATTTTAATACAATGCGATAAATGTAAAATTGAAATACCGAAAAACAAATATAAATACCATATGAGAACGAATATACATAAATCTAATTGTCTATTGAAAACTGAAAAATATTGAAATCATAGCTACAGCTTTTCGAAACAGAATATGTACATATCGCTTGAGTCAAGCATTAAGGGCGGAGTGTTTTACTCTTGAGGCCTTCATGAGCGTCAATCAAAGCGATGTCGTAAAACTTATTGAAATGTCTGTATTGAAACACAATTGTATTAAATTAACTTTCAGCTATTTGCTTTCTTCTTTTTGGTAAAGACAGAAGAGCAACAATTAAAGTCTTTTAATACAAAGTACATAAATGTTTATAAAAGTACTGATTTGAATGAATTATACATTAATATGTATAATAAATTCTATATTATCTAAAAATAAACCCATGAAGAAATTAACTGAAGAACAAAAAAAATTATATATTAATGCTACAACATGTCATATTTGCAAACACTTGCTATTTGGTGACAAAGTCCGCAACCATGATCATGTTACATCTGAATACAGAGGTGCAGCACATTCTCATTACAATTTGATGTAAACAATGTGTTCATTTATACCTGTGGTTTTCCATAACCTGTCTTGTTACGATAGCCATTTATTTATCAAAGAGTTAGCAATGTATGATGGTTCTATCAAAATAATACCTAAAACGAAAGAAAAATACGTTTCTATTGTAAAAATCATTAAATCTAAAGATGATACTCATTCTATAAAAATAAAGTTTATTGATTCTTACCAATTTTTAAGTTCGAGCTTAGACGAACTATGCAAAAATCTAAACCTTAAAGATTTTTCAAATTTAACGCGAGAATTTAATGAAAACAAAGCCTTGAATTATTAAGAAAAAAAGGATTTTACCCCTATGAATACGTAAACTCATGGTCAAAATACGATGAAAAGTCTCTACCGTCCAAAGAATGTTTTTATAACTCTTTGAAGAATGAAAATATTGCCGATTTCGAAAACAAACATGTAAAAGCAGTTTGGCATGAATTTAATATTAAATCTCTTGGAGAATATACAGATTTATACCTGAAATGTGATGTATTACTACTTTGCGACATATTTGAAAAATTTAGAAACACAAGTTTGCATCATTATAATCTTGATCCGGCATTTACTTTAGAATTGATACCGTAAAACGGGGTGTATAGAAATTGCGGGGTGAATCGAAATAATATCAGGAAAGTTTTCAATGCTCATATTTGACTACTTTTTGTTAAAGAATTTTGGTAGAAATTTTAATGATTACACTTCAACATTTTTTCTTTGCGTTGGCAACAATTTTTAGATGTCAACATCAAAATTGAGTTTACCTTCTGTGTACGCCTAAAGTTTAGCTCCCGAAACTTTTGATTTAATGTGTGTAAACGTTGTGTATTGTATTGTTAACGTGTTTAACTTATTACGTATGTGTTTAATTACAAAAATACAGTCGAGGTAAGTAATTATCTGTTATTTCATTTCAAAAACTTGTAAAAATCACAGTACGTGTAAATTTATTGAATAAAAGGGGTGAATAGAATCCATTGAAGGGGAAATAGAACCGTAGTAGGGTGTAATAGAAACCTAGTAGGAAACAATAGAAACGTTTAATGTGTGAATAGGAACCAATAAGGGGTCGATAGAGATAAATAAATAGGGTTGTCAAAAACTGTTAACAGGACTAAATAACGACTTTTTAACCCCGACCTCAAAAAAGTAGAAGGTTCTCTTTATACGACCGTATTTTTTATTAACCGACTTCAAAAAAGTAGTTGGTTCGCAATTCGACCGTGTTTTTGATCGACTTCAAAAAAACAGTTGTATTATTGATGTTTTTCATTACAAAAAATTTGATTTCATGAAAATTTAAAAAATAATAAAAAATCTAATCTTATAATATAGTTTCTGTAATACAGAATACCTAGTAAAATCATGCTATATAGTAGGTGAGAGCTCTAGATTTAATGTATGATAAATAAATAATCTTTTTATAGTGAATGTTTTCATTTACAGGTACATACCACCGTAGGTATATTAACATGCCGCGTGTATATAAATCTGATCTGAGAAGAAAATATAAAAATATAGATTTAATAAAAAAAAACTGTGGAAGAGTTTGCAACTTCTCGAAATGTCAAATTA